GAAATAATGTACCACATGGTTTTTCATCTCGCTTAAGAGAAGAATCCGTCAAAACCTTCGTATGTATAACCAATTACTAGTGTAAAATTACCAGAGGTCACATTTGCAATTTTTCAAAGCTGGCGTGATATGATTTAGGACAATGCATAATGCGACGCTGTCTTCTTAAACGATTAAAGAAAATAGTTGTCGGGACATTATGCAAATGTTGATATGCAACTTATCGAATTACCACGCGAGGACTAATGGATGTGCGGTCTGGTTTTTATGAGTTTAGTATGAATTAAGGTAAGTGATTGTGTATTGTAAAATGTATATATATTTAGGCAAACATGATATACCTCTGTATGACTGAATCTGTAAGACATCTGAAATATTGCGCATAAAAAGAAATATATGTTGATGTAGTCTGATAGATACCTCCTATCTTTTGTTGTGCGTAATGGACTTATTATCCAAATCTTACGAGCGCGTGCGGGGCTAAGCTTGTTAATGGTACCGCAATATAAGTGACTGCGGATAGTCATACTACTAGCATAGCTCGCATATGTCCACACTGTAAGTTTGTAAACTTTATACAATTTAATGGCGAAGAATTAGCCGTGATGACATTCCAGGTACATCAGAGTTTATGGTTCGTCAAGTCGTTTCTGTAGCAATTCCCGAATAAGAGTTTCCCCATGAAATTAAATGGCATATCACGTAATAAGGTAGATGCCTCTACGGCAGATGTTAATATTTTACGTCATGTATAAAAAGTTCAATATGAATATAAAGTTACTGACTCGAAGACGTGGAGCACAACTTGGATAGAAGATGTCACGCGCTAACACTGTACAACGACATCAGATATCCCAACTCAACAACGAAAATAGTTATAATTAATGCATCTTCGACAAGCACCAGGCACAGTAAATTTCTTCGTGACAATTATCGGCAACTTTGCTATCATTAGAAATTTATTTTTGTGAGAGTTTAATTATATAAAAAAATTGGTTAAGAACACGGATGTGAACAAACAATGAATAGTTTCTCATGTGATGTATAGTTCTGCCTTGTAAAAGACTCTATATTAACAATACAGATAAACATGTTCCTCGTTAAACCTTTATACGCGTAAGCTTTCTTCTTACAATTTTTCCTATCTATAACCTGTAACAATTTTCGATCAGTGTCACACAGCTACTCATCACCCCAATATTCTCTAAACACACGTCTAAATTTATTTACGGCTAGAGAATGCTATTCGGGTCGTTTGTATAGTCTGGAATTTAAATTGATTAATTTTTGCGACGTTATAGGACCCTAAAGCACGGAGACATTTATTGATTTTGGATCGCGACGGGCCACATTTGGCCGCCCTAAATTTTCCACGTAGACTTATTTGTCTCGTATTTTCAAAGTTATTCACGTGAACCCTATTAGTTTGTAAACGAAACCATTAAAATGCATTACTTTTTGCCATACATTTCGCAAAGCATCATATTTGGTAGCAGCTTAAACGCTCACGTCCGTTTAAGTTTAAATGGAAGCTTACAATGCGAGTAAAAAACGATGTATTCGGCGCCCTACCTCGTCAGGATCTAGCTATATATGTCCATGTACCAGACGATTTTTAAGAATGGCGGCGGATTGTAATAGGAGACTCGAATGCGAGGTGTTTTAAGACCATGTGCACGAGGCTTATTTCGAGAATTTTATATTGGTTCTCTCCAAAACAATTAAAAAAAGTTTACTTTGCAATGAAATAGAGGAGAAATGATGTGTATTCGGTCACAGTGATAGTATCCCCTAGAATTCCTTTTTAATGCTAAAAAATCACATCGATTTTTGATAACACTGCGGGCGCAGCAAATGCCCTCGGAACCTGCAATTTCCGCAGCCAATTGTTGGGGCGCGGTATGTTGGTCATTGCTGACTGATTAGTGCATATATTATCGTTGAAAACGCAGCAGTGACGTACTTTCTGTTTGCAATGCGACGAAAGTGTCGAATAAAGTGCTTTCGGTTAAAGCAAGAAGAATAAAAATATTTTTCTATTTCAGATTTGGTCGCCAATAAAACCTTAATGTTCTAGTCGGCACGCATCGTAGTAAATAATACGTGTATATGATGCCAAAAAGACGTAGAACAATCTGCTAGGTATGTATGAGCAACAATAATGCAGATTACGTTACTAAATGCACATATATGTAGATCTTCGGTAGACATTGACGTTAAATGTACTACGTCAAGTAAGTAAAGTATTGGGATTCCAAATTTTTAATGAACTTGTTAATATTTTCAAATATTAATCACAATAGGATACATTACGAACTGCATATATACATCTCAAATCCATAAAATTGCTCTGCTGAATATATAATGATGTGTTTGTTGCGTCGTATTTTGATATAGCAGTATCCCTTCTGCTACTAAGCTAAAAATACCTTTTCTTGCATCCATCATCAAATATTTATTATTAGCCTATGAACATGCTTCATGATCGAAATAATTTGACGGTGAAGTTCATGGATTAAATTTTTATCGATCATCAAATTTAAACACCTTATCCAGAATTGAACTATCGATGGTTTGAAATATGAAGCAGGATGCTGAAACGCTTAAGCCCTAGCAATTTGTATTATATATATGCGCGATCATCAAAAGATCACCCGACAATGTGAGCATCCTTTTTTCATGTTCTCGCTGATATAGCGAACTTGACCATTCTTTGGGAAATGTTCTTTCGAATCACTTGTAAACGATACAGTCCTATACATTAAAAGTACTCAATATACTGTAATCTATTTTGCTGCATCGTCAATTTAGCTCTCAAGGGCCAAGCTAATACTCATGTGTGCATTAGGGGTTTAACTGCAAGCGACTTCAATACCACCATTATGAGATTCCTCCTTATACGTGTTTCGCAGCATGCAATTTACACTTTTGTTCGCAAGCATCCACATGACTGTCTGCGATAGCACAAATATTTTCTGCATCTCCCTACTATCATGTTACATTTGTAATGATGTTCTGTTATGCGCATTCCCATGCATCCCAGTGTCGTATAGTGTAACATCTTATATAGCATGTCGAGCTTCATGTTGACGCAGTTACATCAAATTTACTATAAAATGATACCCTATAGACAGCAGGTGCACTATTTTGTAATATACGACTTATTAGGTTTATAAAAGAGGTCAATATATGTAACGGGGCAGCCCGTTACATGGAATTGTCACTTTAAAGAAACAGTGACAATAAAGAATATATATGTTGAATATTCTTTGAACAATATCACCAAAGTGGTGATATTGAAGGGTCGACCAAAGGGTTGCTCATTGGTTGATATCTTGACGATATCAACCCACCAATCGCCGCAGGACGCGCGCAATGAGTGGTGACGAGACGTCACCATACATTCAGTTAGATTAACATAATCAAGTCAGGTTAAACAGAGAGACAGTAACAAAAGACTTAATTATATTAATACAACAGTTTTACTTTTCCCTTATCTACGCTTCCTCGTTTGCCTTGTGCACGTCTGTCGGGCGCACCAAAACTCTTGCGTTAAGTTCACGCAAGGGTGTGCCCCGTTACAATATACGTACTTATATTCACCATTAAAGAATATGTATTGCGCTCGATTTAGTCTATAAGCGCCAAAGCATATTTCCTTTCTTGTACAAATCATTTGGAAATGATTTGTAGGTCATAGTTAATGACTAAGGAGAGAAGATGAAGAAGATATGCGCAAATGTATGTGACTGCTCCTTGCATACGTATCATTTGTCTCATTGCTTATCTCAGTGATGCATACATTATACAATTATACGTTAACTCCTTGCATATTTTTATTGTGCGGGGCGAATTTTTCACCCTTTTTTGGGCTACTTTTGAGTTTTTTTATCTTTCGGCTTGTAAATTACAATTTTTCAGTTTCTGGTGAACTACCTTATCCCTGCCATTCAGGTACATCTTTATGCTAAGATAATATTCATTGAGTGCATATCGGTGGATGAAATCCATTCAAAAGGTATTGTCGAAGAGGATTTATTTAAAAGCAATTTTGCGTAACATGTTAGCATCAGAACAACGGTTTGATAAGCAGGCAAAAAACTACGTGTTCAGGAGACTTGCGTAGCACATAGACAATTGCAAAACAAGTGCGAATTAAGGAAGTGAGGGCAAATGGACGGACAACAAGAACGTATATCCGACCTCTCGCGGCATAAATTAGAAATATATAACCTCCCCGCTGCACACTTGAAGCCTACCTATCACATATGCAGGTGCTAACTATTTCACCGATTGTCAGCACCTGGCTGGTCTCATTGCTTACAAAAATTTAAGAAATGACGGAATGACTCGCATTCGTGGCGACCTCCGGTCCGCTAATTGGTCGTCGTGGTCGTCCACGACGACCGTGTATAAAATACGAACTTTGCGCTACTACATGTGCATGCCACGCGAATGTTATACTGACGATCAAGATTACACTTACTGTACGAGCGAACACTTGCATACAAGAGCACCATTCCGCGATGTCGTTGCGACGTTATTGCAGGGAAAAACGACATTCAGACATCAACAACCCCGCCGTATGTGACGTAACGGGACTTATCTGTTGCACAGCTGATGTGCGAAACAAAAGGTTCAACTGAAACCTGTCCATTACAGATCCTTTTTTGGATAGGTGCATCACAAAATGGTTACTTGGGCGGAAGCCTGTGCAGGCTCCTGCCACTGAATGGCTTATTGACTACCAATAACTAAAGCCTAAACAAATCTGATGAAAGAAACCAGAAAATAGTGAGCTTGAAACCACGTTTGCTGTTACTTTGCCCTCAAGCGCTATGCGTCCTACCGCTACACTTGTAGCTGCGAGGAAAAGAACACCAGCTTGCTTCCCATTACACCACTATGACCGGATCACGTCCAAATCAGCACGGCTGCGAGTAGCAACTTGCGAGAACGTTATGCAGATGAAAAAACACATCGGGCAACAACTTGACCAGCTACTGCACCATTGCTGCTGGGATACGCGTGATCGAAGGACGCACCGGGCTTGTTAGATATAAGTAGTCGCCGAAACGCTTGGCACCCGAAATATTCGGTGTCTGTCCTTTCGAGGCTTCGTACACGTGCCGAATATCACCCGTCTCCAAGTCTAGAGAGACAAACACGCCGATACGCTCGATGAAACCAAACTCCACCGACGTTGGCAGTTGCAATAGCTTTTTGCGTAGCTGGACACTCTGCTTGATGTGATCAAAGGTTCCACCATCGTCTCTTGACACGAGTCCCACCATCAGCACATCCGTCTCATTGTCTCCTGTACCCACTGTTTCAATCGAAATGTTGTCTGGTTCACCCGGCAAGAAAGCAAAGTCCTTGATCTGCTTGGTCGCTCGACCAAAACGCGCAATCTTGTTCTGGAACATGAGTGAAATCAGTACCCCAGTGCCATCTTGATCAAGTGTCAGGCCATTTGGGAATCCCAACTTGCTCGCCTCGACGTGCACGCTCTCGTCTCGTGGATCAAATCGCAGTAAATTCCCCGACGGTCGGCGTTCTAAGAAGTCAACCAGGATTTGAGCGAGCTGAAAGCGACGAGACGCCTCGGAGACGTAAATCTCACCCGTCTCCTGCACGACAGCAATTCCATTGAGGAAGTTCACGTGGTGACCGCCGAAACGACTGAAGAGCAGCGTGCGCTTACCGTTGGCATCAAAGAGGAACACGCCCTTGTAAGCGTCGACCACGAGCAAAACAGCATCTCCTGAAAACAACTTGGCGGCTGGAATCCGCCGGATGAACTTGGCAAAAGGGCGCGCAGCAGCGAACTTGAGTCCAAGTGGCCGTCCACAGGTCGGTTCCAAGTCCGGTGTCCCACATCCTGGAACATCTTTGCCTGTGCGAGAAAAATTCCGCAGTTCGTTGGCTTCAACGTCAAAGCTCGCAAGACGTCCATCCGCCAATCCGACGTATGCGACGCCGTCTGGACTCACGGCCATGTCTTCTGCGCTCAAGGCTTTGGTTCGTGAACAAGGTCTCCAAGTTGGGTGGTTGGAAGAGATCCGTGTTGCGCACTAACGTCGCTGTCTCGTTGTATCGACTTTCCTGGGCCGACGTACGGAGGTCATAGTCGAAGTCAAGTGGTAGGGGCTTGACTTTGCCTGGATGCTTATCGATTGCAGCAGACAGGACCATGACGGAGAAAGACGCAGCGAGTAACCCGCGCGAGAAGAAGTAGCTGGAAACGCTTGGCGCCATGACAGAAGAATGAGAAGTGAGGAAAGCGAATGCGAGAAGGAAAGGGGAGAGAGAGATGGAGCAATAAATGGTGGCCAGCCCTTGTCGATTAGGTGACGAGAGGAAGCGATAGTAACAATAAGGTGATCTGAAGAGCAACAGGGGGTCTTCTCTGGGATGTCTTGAATCTGATCGCTCGTTAAACTGCAGGGCTTCTTCGATTGAAAACGCGACAGGTTCGTGCAGTCGCGAGATAGGCACGCGAAAAACTCAGCTCTAGAAACAAGGACCGGTGAAAAAAAGATTGATAAGATGTATGGAAAAACGCGACATGCACAGAAGGCAGCCTTCAGCTGCGCTTTCTGTCGTCAGGTTTTTGTTTATTTTAGTGCCAAACAGTGTGCGCTTTCCGTCGTCATCAAAAAGAATTGTTTAGTATACTGCTCAACAGCTACACGAACGGTGTGAAGGTGTAGGTCGTCAGCATCACGTTCATTTTGTATTATAACACTGAGACACGGTATTAGTCACTTTTTTAAGACTGAAAGGTGTTGTTGAAGGCTGGCTGAAGACAGCGGCTATCTAGAGAGTGAACCTAAATGTCGATCAAGTGTTTATGACTATACAATTTCGATGTGCTGCTACCTAGACTACATGTTTCTCCTACTCGTTGGACCAGTCTACTGGCTCGAGCTGGCGGGCGTCACGGAGGACAGTCCGCAAAGGACTGCGAGCGTTACGGTGGACAGTCTTCCATTGGGAATCTGGTCCGGGTTGCAAACAGGGCGCTGGAGTCGCGGAAAAGGCCGGGTACCACTCGAATTACTCCCAATGAACCACTGACGCACCTGGGCGGGTCCGATCAAATCACGCTCTAGGCAAGTTCTCTTCCCGGAACCAGAAATCATGCTTGACGACCGGGTCGGTGAATTGTGGACTGATGCAGAATGGCAGGAATCAAGTGGGGCTGATAACCGCTTTTGCCGTGACCTCGATCCCGGTGTGTCTTGGTCATCGCTCTACTTCCGGTTTGCACTTGCGCTGCCTCCCGTAGCGCACGCAGCGGCAAGGAGGCCTCCCACATTGCCCTGGACCTCACCAATGGGAACTTCCCGCCCAGAAAAGGGAGCCGGTTGTCCGGCTCTTTGGGGGGTTTTGTCGCTTGGCCGTTGTTGTTTGTAGGAGCATTTTAGGAACTGAGTCGGCGGATATTTAGCACATTTGCGACACCATGGTATCAAGTGTTACCAGTGCCGTCGGAGGTCATGTATGGACTTGCATACAATTAGGCTAGTGACCGGTCGGATTGCTGTAGTGACGGTCACTCTCAGGTATACGTCTGACGGACCAAAAGTGAACCGTCTGAGGGGCCAAAAGTGAACGTTTGGGACCAGAACTTACATCTAGATTAACACATAATTAACTTACGACGACTATGACCACTGTTTGACAGCATAGCTTTCGTGATTCGTCATCAGCCTCTATCATACTTCTTGTTCATTGTTCATCACGCTTCTTCTTTTTTTGTTGCTACTTGCTGTTTTGTTTCCTTTTCCCTCTGTAGGTCTATTCTGTCCGTTACTTTGGCATACAAGAAGACAGCAACGAACATCGACGAGCGTCTTCGACAGCATAAGCTTCTAATCGTGCCTATACTCTTCACTGTAGCATGATGACGATACCATGATCTGGATTACCATCGGTCAGCGAAAAGATGCCGATTGATCGAGTCTGGATCAACAATGGTCGGTTTATTCATGATGCTGTTTGTCATTGCTTCGTAATCTATGCCGCGTAATCGAGGGGGTAACCCCCCATGCCTTGGGTACGCACAGGCAGTCCGAGTCCAGCGAATGCCGGTTCGATTCCCTCTGAGACCTACGCAAGGTCTTGTCTTGTACGTACCGCTCTGTAGTATCATTACGAAAAACCCGGTACTGAGCATACGGCTTCACCACAATAATGACCTGTCGAAGCGTAACACCTTCGAAAGTGGATGAGCTTCCGATACAGGGGAACATGTATGTGTAAGCGTGAAGCCGGGTCTGTGTTGCATACAGCAACCGAAGAACTGTAACGGGGCAGCCCGTTACATGATATTGTCACTTAAGGAAAGTGACAATAAAGAATATAAGATGGATATTCTTTAAACAATATCACCAAAGTGGTGATATTGAAGGGTCGACCAAAGGGTCTGTTCATTGGTTGATATCGTGATGATATCAACCCACCAATCGCCGCAAGACGCGCGCAATGAGTGGTGACGAGACGTCACCATACATGCAGTTATATTAGTATAATTGAATTAAGTCAAACGAAGAGACAGTAGTTTAAAGACTTAATTTATTAATATAACAGTTCTACTTTTACCCTACCTACGCTTCCTCGCTCGCCACGTGTACGTCCGTCGGGGCACCCAAATCCCTTGCGTTAAGTTACGCAAGGGTGTGCCCCGTTACACCTGGTAGCACTTTGTAGTCCTTCCAAGGACCACATCATCCAACATGAACATGTTGGATGAAGAAGACACCTTTCACGCCACGCGTGAAGGGTTTACCCATTTGAGTGACATCGAATGGGGTGCGGTAGAACGAATGAGTTCTACCGTAGGCGAACTCGTCGTCAGCACCATGTTGGAGTCTCTAGACAGAGACCAACAACATGCTGCTATCGCCAAGTTCATTCACAATGAACTTGCTCTCGAGAGGGAGAAAGTAGCCTTGCTTCACCAGCAAGGCTCTCAACAGGCCGAGCAGTTGAGAGAACTCGGTGCTCAACAGACGGAGCTGTTGAGACAGCAGCAATTCCATGCTGCTGTGGGCGGGACGGCGCATGCGCGTCGTCCCGAGGTCATGAAGGTTGACATCTCCAAGTACAGTGGAGTCCCGGAGGACTCCCTGTTACTATGGTTTGTCGAACTCGACAGAGCCCTAAGGGCTCGTCGCGTCGAAGATGAGCAAATGAAACTCACATTTGCTCAGACCCACTTGGCAGGGCGTGCCAAAACTTGGTCCCTGGGACTCGAGAGTAGCGACCCAAATGTGTTTAGGTCGCTAGATGACTTCAAGTCCCGGCTCAGACAAACGTTTGAGCCGCCACGTGCTGAGTTCAGGGCTCGTTCAGAGCTCCTGAAACTCAAGCAGGGTAAGCGTGATGTGCACGCTTACGCACAACATATACGACTCCTTGCGAGTAGTATAACTGCAAACCCAGTTCATGAACACACGTTGATTACGGTGTTCATGCAAGGGCTCGCAGAAGGGCCCGTCAGGAGCCACCTGTTCCGCCTTGAGCTGAATACGCTTGAAGAAGCGATATCAGCCGCGGAACAGGAAGACTTTAGCATGAGACAGGCTCATGCTAGCTCAAACTCTTACCGTCCACCGAGACGACAAGAGATCGGAGGTCCAGAACCAATGGACCTCTGTTATGTTGAGAGCGAGAGACCTCGCTCTACAAGCAACAAGCGATTGCAGAGGTGCAATCGCTGTCAGAAGTTAGGGCACTACGCATACGAGTGTAGTGCTCCGCGCCCAGTACCAAACAGTACTGAGCGAAATGGACGACCATTCGCCAGAAAGGGCAATGGGCGTGGGTCCAGCGCTGTTGCGAAGCCGCAACAGCGAGACGGGCCATCAAAAAATGGTCGGGGTCAGTAGGGGCGGAGCGCCCTACTGATCCAGCAACCTCAAGAGAATTTGCAAACCTCTTGACGAAAGTTGCTCCAGATACACAATCATTGTGTGTCTCTGCACCTGGTGATGACGTTTCGCTCATCACCTTGAAGTTGGAAGCGACAAATGACTTGTCGCTTCGTGCCCTAGTAGACTGTGGGGCGTCGAACAACTTTGTTCGTCGCCAGTCACTAGAGGGTCGTAGGCTCAAGTTCGTTGAGCGCGACATTCCCCTCACAAGGATGACGGTGCGCCTTGCAACAGGCGCATCGATAACCGTTGAGAAACGTGTAGTAGGAATCCACTACACGTTAGAGGGCGAGCAGTACGATGATGATTTCATCGTACTAGATCTGGATGACAAATTTGATGTCATCCTGGGATTACCTTGGCTCAGAAAATACGAGCCAAGGGTGAGCTGGCAGCATCGATCCGTGAAGATGCCTGCTGCTTGTTCATCAGATGGCCATCTGATGAACATCTTGGAGCGTCCACAAGCGTGTGGATGTTCTGCGAGTGAGTGCGATGGCCTCACTTGCGGTACGGTCGTTAGCACGACTGCACAAGGTCACAGTGTAGTTGATCACTACACTGTGGAGCAAGCTCCCGGCGGCTGTACAGAAGTACAGGCTGCGCCGAAGGTCCACCACTCGAATAAGTCGAGTGGACCGGGACATGGATGCATGCCTAGCGGGCAGCATCTTAGAAGAAAGAAATCTGTTGCCCCCAAGGGGCAACATGAAAATCCTAGGTCGACTGGAGAGTCGACCGTAGAGGATCGGTTCCTGACTGTGGTTGCACAGCCACAGTCGGAAGACGTCGAGGGAATAAGTCCCCACGTACTTGAGGAAGGAGTTCCTCAAGAGTTGCTTGCTGAGGGATCAGGCCCTCAGCAACCTGTGGAAGCAAGATCCCAGGAAGAAACCGAGACGTTGAACGTCTTGGTTAATGACGGATCAAGCGTAGGCGCTTATACGCTTGATCTGATTGTGCCTCCGAAGTTGACTTCGGAGATAACTCAGTTGCCAACGCTAGAACCGAAACGGTTCTTGCGTGATCTGCGTAGTGGCAAAGTCAAGCAGATCTGCGTACTCGTCACAGAGGACGAGTATGTGACCGACATTCGGTCGGCAACAGTATTTGCTGAGAACGAACGGGTTCTCAGCAGCTCATCGATGGACGAAAGTGTCCTCGATGAGAAGACTCGGATTGAGCGATACGCGTCCCAATCCTGGGAGTCACTTCAGGCAAATCCTTTGTATAAGGATTTGATCGAATTCAGGGATGTGTTCCCTGAATCCGTACCTTGCGAGTTGCCTAAGGACAAAGGCACTCGACACGAGATCG